ATCAGTAACTCTCTAGGATCCTGTGCCAACCTTAGTGCCCCAATTTTCTAACCTGTGGCCAGAGTAACTGTTACCAAATGCAAATTCAGGTATGTAAGTCCTGTTTACAAACTTTTAATTTGACATCCACTAATCTCAGAAGAAAATGAAAACTCATTAACATCGTATCAAAAATCCTCCTGATTTTGCTTATTTTCCAGCTTCATTTATTACGAATGTCTCTTTTCACTGTGTAAAAACAAGAATTACTTGCAGTTCTCTGACCACACCTTTTAACCGTTTTGCTTCTCTTCTCTCTTACTCTCATATATTCTCTACTTTGTCTGGATGCTTCCAACCCCCCTTTTCCCTGGCCGTCTCCATTTTGTCCTTGGAGTTGCAGTGTGGGAATGATTTTCTCCACGAATCTTCCCTTTGAGGTTGACTGGATGCCTCTGCAAGCTGCTGGGCAGGGGCAAGCTGGCACACTGCAGCACACTCTGCCGTCTGCCCCTTGGAACTGCCAGAGAGCCTGCAGCTCAGGAGTGTGGTGAGTTCGGGGCCAGCTGATCCTGTTTCAGTGGAGAGTGATTTACTTGCTGGCTCCTCCATTTCCTCCAACACACTCTTTCTCAACTCTGTGTATTTTCATGGAAGACTCCCCCGAGAACTAGATTGACATCATCATCACAGTGACTGGGCACTAAAATCTAAGATTTTGTGACCACAAAGGACCATACTGTGCCCTTTAACCCCTGGAGACCGCATCCAGAAAGTACAAGCCTCCATCAGAAAGTACTTCATTGCGAGGGAAAATAATCATCTGGCTTTTGCAGTTATCTGCTTTGTCAGAGATTCTTTAGCATATTATGTTTGGTCATTTTTCAAAGTGTGTGCTAACACAGTGCCAGACGTTTCTCTGGTTGAGGGAGAGCCATTTAAAGTCAGAACTTGGAAGAGTTTCCCCTTGATGCTCAGAGGGGACATCTTTGTTGACCAAAGTACATCTCTAGAAGTGACTTTGCCCAGTCAGAACTGAGACTGCTTTGAGTAATGACCTGTGAATGAGAATATATGCACATTTCTCCCAATACATTCAATGATTGTTTTAAAAAAAATACAAACCACACACAGCTGGTGAATAGGCATTTTTTTTTTTTTTTTGCTAGCTAAGGGAAATCATGCACTTTTTCATTTCATGTGTGGGACTCACAATCATGAATTAGAGTGTGCAGGTATAATTTTTATGTCATATTTTGTGACTTTAAATAATTTAAATCAACTAAACCTACTGATGTTGCATACTAATTTTTAAATTAAAAGAGGAGCAGAGGAAGTAATTATTGGATCACAGCAAACTTACTTTTTTTCCCCAGCACATCATTCTCAGCTCATATATAACTTTTCCTAAAATCACCTTTGTTCCCAACCATTTTGCTCTTTATTTTCATGAATTACTAGGCCAGCAAACACTCCAGCGAAGATGTAAATGTTTACACTGGTCCCATCCAAACTCACCTGTATGTTTTTCCATTTTTAAAAATCCAGCTCTACTGTTTGAAATCTCTTTAATTCCTGACCATGATCATATCAGCGCTTTCCTATGCATTTATTCAGTAAATATTTTTTGAATAACTATTATATGCCTGACACCTGGTACTGGTATACAGAAGTGAGCAAACAGAACAAAAATCCGTGTCTTCATAGAACATATATTTTACTAGGAAAATCAGGCCATACAAATGATAAATAAAATAATATAATGTTGGAAAATGATAAACCTGAGGATGAAATATTATTTAACAGTGAATCAAGGACATGATGGAGTTATTGGGGAAGCATGTGTAATTTTAGAGACAGGGACCGCTCATTAAATTATTGGCTGATGATTTTTAAAAGTTGTGACTGAGGCTGTTCTGAAATTTGGTTCTGGTTTATATATAAACAACATATTTCTAATAAGTACCTTACATAAGATAATAAAGGAGCTATAAAATCTATTTCAGAAAAACACTCTGATAACTCTTGGAAGCTACTCATAAATCATGTCCCACATTCATCTGAGGGGAACTTACTTCAAATATTCTAAAAGGTGTTATTTTATCATTAATGAGCTGTGACTATATTAGGCACTATGCTTGAAAGTAGCTACCTATATGTAATACAACTACAGCTCATAATTTTTCAGCATATCGGTCTACATTTAGTCTTAATTAGTAATATTTTACTGTGTTGCATCTCCCTGTGCCTTAACTGCAAATTAAGAGGCCTAGGCACAAAAAAAGGAAGGTAATATACATCAAACAACATAAATGCAAATTTTACGTTGTTTAGATTTAAGGTAAATACACACATCACACATTCTACAACATGGAAGGGTAAAGAAAAGGAAAACATTTCCAAAGGTATTTATTGAGAAATAGTAAAGATGTACATATTTTTACAAGCTTTTAATATTAATTTACATTTCTTTAAATTATGTAGGCCCCGATCATCTATACTTTACTAATACATAAGAGAACCCTTTCCATTGACTGTGAGACTTCCATAATGTTATCATAGGTGGGAGTCAAAACGCAACTTTGGCTCGTGATGCTTATTTGTTTTTAAAAGAAATACTAAATGCCATATCCACCGAATATGCAGGCTTGTCATAAACAAATGTACTTTAAGATAAAAAACAACTTCATAGTGGAGCATGCTGTTGACACTATTTTGAATCTTAGCTCACCAGAGTCCAAGGTCAAAACATTTTTACAGAGTGATTGCCTATATTACGTGCACAAACTGCATGGTTCTAATTTTTTGCTTTTGCCTCTGAATTTGACTTACAAACTTTTGCAAGGGTAGAGCGACCTAATCTCCTATGCTGTAATATTGTAACCAGGCCATATTGTTCAGAAAGAACACAAGATGATTATCTTTCCTAGAGATATACCAAGTTTGCTCATATAGTTACAACATTTTTTTCAAATTTGTTTACAAGAAGGCACAATATTCTGCATTGCAATAGAATGTGCACTGGAGTTTTGTTGGTTGATTTTTTTGTTTTTGAGATCAGAAAGGAAGAGGATCTTGGAGAGTAGCTCTAGTTTGAGCATTCTCAAAGTCTCAGGACAAGCTCTGATGTGTCCAGGGCCTGAGCCACTGTTTTGAGCCAGTCATGCTGTTCTCCTTTAAATGGGCATTTAGGTTTTATGCTGGCAGCCTCTTCTGAACAGAAAATCAGAGAAGACGTGTATGAGAAGAAGCACTGGATCATGCAGTGGGGGACCCTTCTCTTTGCTCCTGGGAAGGGGAGTATCTTTCTGCACCTGCAGGGTTAGCAGCATAAGTCTTGATCAACATAAAAATGAATGAAAAATTTGGATGCAATGCCACAATACTATCATTTCAAGAAACTGGCCATAAAGATAATTTTGTTTTATTCACAGCAATAAATATTTAAGGTTTTAGTGCACAAAAATATAATTAAGCACTTGCAAATCAATGCAGCTTTTGAATTTTTTGAAAGCCATTTTTAAACTAAAGGCCAACAGAAGTGTATGATGATTTATTATTACTATTATTTTATTATTAAAAGTATTGTAACTGTAAGTTGCCTGCAACTGACCTTGTGGCAGAGGTAGCCAAAAGCTACAACCTTTAAAAATTATGGTCAAGGTTTGTGTGATAAAATCACAATCTTACACAATATTGGATCTCAACCTCTTTTTTCTCAACATAAACATGGCCTTAGCATTCAGGAAAAAAAAAAAGCTTAGAGCCTTGAAAATAAAATCACATTTCCACGGTGAATGTTGTGCCCTCTATGAAAAGCACTGGCCTCAGGTGAGCCACTGACACCTCAGATAAAGAGCTACCTGGACAACCTCTGCTTAGGGGCACTGCCCAGTAGCTGGACTCCAGGTTCCACATTAAAATGTTATGAACATGGAACTGCAGGTGCAGACACCATTAAAATGTTGCTAGATCTTGAAGTATTTAATTTCCACAAGGGAAATCATGTCACACAAAATGACAGGAGAACCTGTATCGTGTTCCTAACATGGGCTACACACCAAGAGAAAAAAAAAAAAACATGCAAACACAACGATGACAGGTTCTCCTTGCAATGAATGCGGTCCTTTGTGCAGTCACTGAACAGGCAAAAACCAAGGTAGGCTGGTCTGTAATGGAGAGAACCTGGATTGATGTGTTAGGACAGAGAACCAGGTACTATTTCACTGCTGTGATTTTAGTAAGGCTGCCAAGATCCGGCTCACTTGCTGATTTATTTCATGATGATATACTAGGTAAAATTTTCGTTGGTTCACTTTCTTATATCCACCTTCCACTACTGGTGACACTTCATTTTCAAAATGGTATTGGGAACAAATGCACTTTGCTTTATTTTAATCCAAGTTCACTCAGTGTGAATTTTAAGCTATGTTTATGGTATACCTTAATAATGGGTGGTACTTGCTTACGATGTTCACGAAAATATTTTCTTTGTGCAACCTGCACATAACAAGAAGTCAAACTCAAAACAGTACAAGTTGTCATGAATATGGCTCTTAGTTTTCTCCAGTAAAACTGTAGAAAAGGTACTTGACACTGCAACGTACACTTCACTTTCAAAGTAAAGATCCCACAGTCTTCCCTAAACCTTCTGCTTACGGTTGGATGCACAAATAGTTGCCTCATATGATTATTGGAATTATAAAGAGCCCAAATAAAACACAAGCTTTTCTTTATTATAATTGTTTTCTTGTTGCAACAAATACTCAGTTTTTGATGATACAATATTGAGTTTTGACAGCTTGAATTTTAAATTTGGTCATGTTAAGAATGATCAAAAGAAAAGGACTTTGTTTCTCATTTATCTACAGAGATTTTTAACCAAAGTTACATTGTAACACACAAACGCTGTCTTGTCTTTAAGGCACAGCACATCAATATGAACATTCTGTTTGCCAAACTTAAAAAAGAGACAATATTAGATTCCCATTTTCCCTCCCACAACCCTCCCTGACAAATGAAAGAAAAATTGCATCCACTTTCAAAGTCAGCTGCTAATAAAGTCACAGTAAATTATTTTCATCAATAATTTACACAAATTACAGGTCTAGATAGGATTGTTCTTATACAGTCTGAGTGCATTCCAATTCAGATTTTCTGGGCTAGGTAGGCTAAAGTCAGATTCAAACCTCAGGGCTGAGAAGATCTCATTTTGAGGAATGTTGTCAGACGGAGCATGCGTCGGTGTTTTGCCAGGGTTTCTTTGTTAAAGCTGTTAATTCCAGTTAGGACTCACTCGGTGTGTACCAGCAACCTCCACAGATTTTTTTTTTAAACCATTAAAGTGTTGTAAGTATAAGACCATAGAGCTTCCTTTCTGTAGCACTAAAGTTTAATTCCGCTCAGCAATCTGAATTCTTCATTCTGGAATTTTCATTCCAAATATGATTTCATCCTTTAAGACAATTTATATGTGTAAAGCCAGAGGCATTGAATCACACATAAAAATTCAGTGTACTTGAAATATAAAAAAACGGATCTCCAGCTAGAGAACACAGTTACAAATACTCTAATTCCAGTGCTTGATGTAGCGCCAAGAGGTCTGAGTGACTTGATATCCTCCAAAAGGGCATGTTGTGCTGTGTGGTTAAGAGAAGGCAGGTGGAGGAGAGAAGAGGAAGGAATGGAGAGAGAGATCATAACCATTGTCTTGGTGAAGCACCGTACACAAAAGGATGTCATCCACCCAAGTTCAAGGGAAGGAATCTTAAGGGAGGGATGATCATATTTGAAGGCTAGATAGCATCAATAGGGCATTTTCAAAATAATAGACAAATAGATCTGAACTGGATGTTAGTGATAATAAAAGCAAACATTGAGATTTCCTAGGTAATTTAATACTGATTGTGGAAGGTATCATTACTAACATCAGCAAGGTGGACATCATACCTCTGTGGCTGATGAAAAACAAATTTTAATCATTAGATTAAAGATCCATCTCTTAATACAAAATAAAATTAAAGGATTACAAACTTCCAAAGCCCAAAGCCTTTTGTCTACTTGAGAGGAGGGGGGTGAATTGCATTCTATGTAAAAAATAATTTGAAGCTGGACTATATGAGGTAGGAAAATATGTGGACATGGTTCCTTTTCCTCCTTGTCTGGGGTAACTAACACTGCAAGTCAGTCAAGTTGACCTGATTTATTTTACTGGTGTGGGACTGAGAGAAAGTAATATAGCAATGATTCTCAATGGGGAGATATCACACCCAAGAGGACAGAAACCAGCTCTTCTGGAGCAAAGATTCTTATATATTATAATGACTATAGTGCTACAAAAATATACCAGTATATGGTACAAGTCTGGTTTTAAAATTTCATGGAGGGGTGTGATTGCAGGTCGAAAAGGCCTAAGAAAGTTCCTTCATGGACATAATGAAAAAAAAAATGGAATGTGTCCACTAGTAATTAAGAAAAACACTGTAAGTTTGGACTTATCGCATCTTGTAGAACACATGTGCGTAGAATATTTATTCATATATATAATGGAAATACACATGCATGCATAAAGCATGGAAAAGATGTCTATTATCAAAATTAATTATTAAAGTAATAATTACTGCTCATTATATAATCATTTGCTGTCCAAAAGGTGAGCCACTAGCCCCGGGTGCCTACTGAGTACTTTGGGTCTAGAGATGTGGCTAGTCCAGTTCAAAATACATATTGAATTTCAAAGACTTGGAATATAAATTAAAAAAAGAGTGTAAGCATCACTTGAATAATACTTACATTTATTAGATATTGAGTCTATATTTTATATATACTGCAGTAAAATATATAACTAAAATGTATTGTCTTACATTTTTTAACATGGCTTTTAGAAAATTAAAAATTATGAATAAATTGCAAACATAAAAGAACTAAAAATATAAAATTGCATTGCATAATTCAGAGTAAGGTGCTGCACTACTACTCCTAAACTGTGAAATTACTCCATAAAGTTAAAAAATGTTTTCAGATCAAATTAAAAGACAGAATTATTCATCTAGATGATTTTTTTTCATTCAGCTCAGATCTATTTGTAATCACAAAGTAATGCTTATATATCTGTACATGCAATTATATCTACATACAAAGAAAAGCATGCATTCTGGATACTAAAGAACCAACCACCTGTGTTTTAAAATAGAATGATACTCCTTCACCGTCACCAAAACTGTACCTACATAAACAACCATTTGGAAATAGCATTCTAATTGAGGTTCTTATCCACTTGGAGTCATGCCTTTTTTCTACTTGAGTTTTAGTGTAAAGCAAAAGGTATAAAATCGGTATACTAAATGCAGTTCTCATGCTATGGATAAATGGTATAGAATTTATAAGTTTTAATTTAAAAAGGCTTCTGGTTTAATATTGCTTCTGGATTTGAAAAGTGAATTTCACTAGTCCTGACTGGTAAGTACTTGACGATTTCACAGAGGCTAAAAGACTTGTAAAACATTCAGTGCAGTGGTTGCATGCATTGCTATTTGTGGGGTGTAATTATGATGCCAATATGAAAAATTGAAACAACCAGGACTCTGGACATTGAGGAACTCCAGAAGATGCTTTAGTTGTGTGTAACTGGAAACATTTCAAATAGTAGTCAGCAAGGAAAGTTGTATTTCTTGAGATTACACCCCTGACCTCAAACAGAGCGTCCTTGAGGCCATGGTGCTGTCTTTGTTCATTACTTATTAAAACTGAAGTGCTCTGTGGGAGGAAGAGGCTGCATCAGTGCTCTTAAAGTTAAGAAAAGCACAGAAAATTTCAAGTATCACTTCCAGCACATCAGCAAACTTTTTAAAGTAGAAGCAAATTTCTTTTTCCACTTTGCCTTGATTCAAATTGAATATTGGCACCAGTCATTCCTTTCTCTTTCTATTATAGTCATAATTTTTTCTAGGCAATTGTTTATGCTGAATTTTTTAGGAGGGACACAGAAATCAGGTCACTAGTTTAGCAAAGGCAAGTGTTTAGTGAAGTCCTTATTAGATGATGATTTGAAATCTTAGGATACTAAGAACATTCTTTCGGTGTGAGACAATATAAGCCGATATTCATTGTTTAAAAATTTTAATTTATCACTTTGCTTTGTTTTATAAATTATATCACTTTTATCCTGGCTAGATGGTATTTTACTCTCATTCAGTGAAGGAAGCAATAGATCAGCTCTCAGTATTGTTGACTAGGATCTGGGGCCAATCCTGATATCACTGTCTCTGCTGGTCTTAGATTAATCACTTAGTTGCTTTTCACTGCCTTGATTTCTTCTGCAGCAATCTGGACCAGAAGAAAAGGCTCATATCAGTACTACGAGCTTTTCTGAATATGTGCAAAGTCAGCTGTTTGACTTTAACCTAGTACCAAAGGCTCACCCAGGCAGACAAGACTCTTCCTGGAGATTCCTGGCGCAGTGCCCCTAAGTTTGTGCAAGATGGCACAAAAAGATTTGAATAATATATCTCAATCAGTAGCATTTACTAATGCTCACCCAATAGTTTTTTGTTTTTTTTTTCCCAACTAGTACATCTACCCTCAGTATTTGTCATCATGGAGGGTATTTACTACTGGGCCCTACAAGAACACAGGGCACAGAGGAGAGATGAGGAACAAGCTAAGCACTGAGTCACTTGTGATGTTTCTATGGAGTTCATTTAAATTCTTTCTCTTGTTAAATTTCATGTCCTTAAAAATGGTTATTTTCCTCCACTTTCTTAGAGACCACTACAACTGTGTGCATTTTACAGACACACACACAAACACATACAATTATATTTTTCTGCATTTCCTATCAAATAACAGGCAAAAAAATGCTAGACTCCAAATGGTTTATTTGAATGTAAGTAATGACCTTCTCATGCTCTTACTGCTTTGCATCTATAAATTTAAATCATATGTCAAGCTGCCATTGGGCCAAACTACAGAAATGCAAACGAAAAAGCTTGCATTGGAAGTATCACACCAACATTGTTTGAGACAGGTTACCTTTTTTGCTGCCTGTTCTTCTTCTACACCATCCCCAATTACAACATATACTACTTTTCTGCCAAACCTTTGCATTATTCGTTCAAAGCAACTTTCTTTTCCTGGAAGATAAACAAGATAAAAGTTCAGAGTGAAGTTACCTGATTAGCGGCATGCTCCTCATCTCGGCCATCTCCAATCACAACATAAGTTATGTTAGTGCCAAATCTGGACACTATACGCTCAAAACAGCTTTCCTTGCCTGAAAAACAATGCACTGCTTATTCTTCCAGCCATTGCATTCATTAACCTGAAGATTCATAAAGTGTTAAGTTAATTTCTTTTAAACATCAATCACCTAAAGTAGCTTGCAACCTCTGGGTTTATGAGACCAACAAATATATTTGAATAATGTAAGTCTTTTCTTGGACAGATTATTAAACAAACATGTTTCCACACTCCAAAAAAAAAAAAAATGCAGTAGGGTTAAGAATTTGTAGTCTCTTTTACCCTGCCAAAAAATATCAAGACAACTTTACAAGCAATCATGAGTTTTAACAATTGTGTAAGTCTATATTTCAATTTTATCAGTTAAAAGTATAGACAAAGCAGTTGAAAATATTATTGTGAAAAACTAAGTCTCACCTAAAGGAAAGAGAAAATGCTAAAATGTGGATTTACCTTAATAACTCCTTTCTTCAAGTTGCTGGGATCTAGTCTGCTCAGGTTAATTGCATTAAGGGTGCTGTCTGATTGGGCCACAGCACTGGTGACACTAGTAGACTCTGATTGCACTATGAGAATAACACTGTGGCATTTCTACATGTTTTTCACTTTTACAACATTGGCATTATACTCTGAATTTCATTTAGTCATGGCTGCTTCTGCATGTTTCCTTCACCTGACAGTTCAGAATTGCAAAAAACAAAACCCAAAAAACCCCACTAGCTTAAAGGGAAAATTACAATTTCTATGGGATTAAATATAAAGAGCAATTTGGCCAATATGAAAGAATATTCCCGATTAGAAGAAATGTTCATGCTAGTGCAAAATTATTTGATTTTTCAAAAAGCAAATCAAGTTTTCTTTATCAATCCTGTTAAACTAGCAATCTAGTTTGTATCAAAAAAAGTGGATGGGATTGCTACTAGGGTTCTGAATTGCAGTGTTCAGAACCATTTAAAATTGACTTAAACAAAAGCTTGTTGTTTTTTTTCTTTAAACTATACTCCTGAAACAGCTGCAACTGGGGGCTCCTGTGGTCTGTGCCTATTAAAACTCTGCAAGGCCCAGGGCAGGTTATTTTTGGTAGGGGATTTTAGGATTTTGAGCTTCTCTTGTCCAGGGGCCAGAGCCTAAGTTTATTAACCTTCAGGGCACATCCCACGACTCATGTATTTCCCCCAGGCATTTCCTGGACAGACAGTGGAACATGTGACTTGTTTTCTTTTAACTCTTCCCAGTGGCAGAAGTTGATGAAGTTTTATTTTGAAAATTTATTACAAGAAATTTGAGTCTGTAAATTCACTCAAAGTTCACTCCACAGATAGATGTTACCCAAGTACACAAAGTTGTAGTTCTCTGATAGCTACTGAACATGTTTGGAAATGTTGGTTCCCAATCACTCATGTGTAATGAGTGATCCAATCTGGTTTATGATTCATGACAATTTTATTTGTGTCTGGAATTAAGGCTATCAGTTCAATCCATCTGATACTGTTCTGTGATGTCAAGATAGTTTTTTTAATCTTAGATTTAGATAATTGTGTATGCAAAGATGAAGTGCTATAACCATGCTAATTAAAATACTAATAGCATGGCTAGAGGTATAAAATATTATTTAAACAATATGTGTGGTAATAAAATATATATAGTGAGTCACAACCATCTACATTTTGAGTTCAGGATTTCACTAGGTAGCAGTTTTTATAAAATTTGCACATATACAATAGCTGCAGGGACTAATATAAGAGCTATATCTAAATTTTCTTGATATTCTAATAGCAAAATAAATGAAAAAAGGAATCATGCAGAGACACACGTTATAAAAATCCCCACAACACAGATGTGAATACATTTCATAAAGAGTTAGAAATAATTTTCTTACCTATTTTAGTTGCACTGTAAATATTCTCAATGGGAAAAGCACCTCCTAAACTATAGAGTAGAACCTTCGCGAGTGCTGGAATCAGCTGGGTGGTTGTTACCAACACATTTACGCAGTTACTCCTAAGGTGTGGAGGAAATAGGCATATTTGTTTTCTAATACTAAATAACTTCTAATAGCACAGATTTTAAATTGTCACTGTGGTCTCCCAATTCCATAAAATAGCCTCTGGTTAGCTAACATTTTAATATTCAACAGTTAATTTTTATGAAATACCTACTGTCTGGCAGTCACTGGGAAAGGGGCTAGAAATGCATCTCAAGTGGTGGAAGTTGGGAAGAATGATGTTTTCCTGTCTTTAGGTCACAGGGCAGAGAGGGAAAGAGACAAGTAAATAACACCTGTGATTGTAATGTAAAGATCTCAGATTCCGGGGCTCCCTGATGGCGCAAGGGGTTAAGCATCGCACTATGAAGCAGTCTTCCGCCACTGTGGCAGGGGTTCGATCCCTGGCCGGCCAGGGAGAAATACACATGGCGAGGCAGACCTCTCCTGGCTTGCCCGCTGCTCCCCTCAGCAGTGTTTTCGGTCCTTCTGCCTGTTCTGCTCCCTGCTCTGTCTATGTTATGAGTACAGGGACTCCCTGGTGGTGCAAGGGGTTAAGCACCGCACTATGAAGCAATCCTCAGTCTCTGTAGCATGAGTTCAATCTCCAGACGGCCAGGGAGCAACCCACAAGGCAAAGCAGACCTCTCCTGTCTCACTGCTGCTCCCCTTAGCAGTGTGTTTCAGTCAGTCTGCCTGTTCTGTTCCCCGTTCGTGTCTGGTGGATCCTCTCACCCCCTGCATCTCTGGTCTGTGCCCTAGCTCTTGAATGCATAAATAAATAAATCTCTTAAAAAAAAAAAAAGATCTCAGATTCTTGTGGAACCGCAGCCAGGAGCTATCCTAGGAAGGTTATCAGAGAGATGGTTTAGCTCTAAGCTTGACAAGTATCCATTAACAGTAATCTTTAGAGGGCCTCCCTTTAGGTGGCGCAGCGGTTGAGCGCTGGGCTGTGAGGCTTCCTGCAGCCTCTGGAGCGCCGGTTCATTCCCCGGCCGCTGGCGAGGGTCCCACACACACACAAAAAGTAATCTTTAGAGTGATAGGGTTCTGTGTGTCAGGGTTTATCAGAGTCTGGAAAAATAGAGGGCATAGGTGGAAAGGGAGTGATAGAATGAGTAAAGAGTTTGGGGTTTTGTGTATGAAATAGCTGAGAGACTCTAATCACCAGTCTAATAGACGGGCTATCTATCATGAAGAAGAAATAAATGAAGAGGATCTTTATTCAGCACAAGAGGTTGAATCCCTGAACCTTCTTAAAAACCAATGCAAACTGGATTTAATGGGACCACTTTTAAGCCACGTACAAAGTGAGACTTTCACTGGGCAATTTACAGCTGCTTCTTTCATGGTCATAATGAGGGGTGGGAGGGAAGGTGAAAACACCAAGAGCATGTGAATTGTGAGATATAAATCTGGAAGGAAGGGAATGTAGTCCTTCCTTCAGGATTAAGGAAAAAGTGGGCCATCCTGCCTTGAAGGTCTCATGGCAAAGGCCGAAGGCACAGGGCTATGGATCTTTCTCTATTTGATATTTTGTATCACAAGCCTTTAATACATATTTGTGAGGGCTATGAAGTATTCTCTAGAATGATTTTCAGCAATCTGGTCTCACTGACAATTTAGAAGAACAAATTGAGGGCTAACTTCATGGATTGTGTATATGCTTACTCTCAGTACACTTAATATTATGCTTTATTTTCTCTAAGAAACATTTTTTGTTAAAAAACCTATATTTAATACAATGATAATACCTTTATAATTATAGTCTTTAAAGTATTGTTATTTGCAAATTATCTTCCTAGGTATCTGATTGTGTGATAGGAACACTGATTTGTTATTTAGGAGGAATAAACAGTTTTACAAATAGAAATTTAATAGTTATCATTGATATAATCCTAAATTTTGCTGACAATGAAACAACAACCTAGAATGTGACTTGTCCATTAGACAACAACTCCTAAAATAATGGCACAGTATTAAGAGTAATATACACACATGTTCACTATGTGGTGACACAAAGTTCTACATATTTTCTCAAAATAAGATGTTATTCAATGCCACATATAGATGAATGACAGAATAAAATATAGTCAATATAATAAAGCACAATTTTAATTACTTTTTTAATGAATAAAATTTTATTTTATATAAATTTTAAAAAATAAAATTGAACTAAGAATGGTTTACAGCACCGTATATGATTTAGAAGTATAGAATCACATCCTTCAGATATATATTATCACACCACACCCACCATCAAGGCACCCATAATCCTCCAGTGTAGTCCATTAAAAGTGCAGGCTTTCTAAGTTTAGAAACGTGGATTTGAAATCTAGCTACACTCCTTACATTTTGTGATATTCAGTTACATCGTTTCATTTTTAATTATAAACTTTGCATGTTAATAATGAGATTTGTAAAATACAAATATAAAGAAGAAAATGAAAAGCATAAATTATTTAATGATTGATGGTTAACTGCTCTCCCAATTTTGTGCATTTGCATCAAGAGTTTCTGTTTGTGTATAATGTTTATCCTATTAGGATAAAAAAGATATACATACATACACACATAAATACACACATATGTACATATATGCATATATGTGTGTATATAGGCATATATATAATTTTATTTTACTTTTTTTCATTTTTTTATATCATGAGACTTTATTCATTTATGTCATCTTTTTTATTATTTATATTTGCCAAAAAGATAATGTATGGAAATTATCATGTGGCTGCACCACAATATTGTAAATTTTAGCTACTTAGGTGTTTTTTTATTTTGAAATATTATAATAATTTTGCCTTACATATATTTTTTCCTATGCATTTGATTATGTCCCCGTATTCACTGAAGAGAAATTAAGAATCTGAGGGTTAAAACTTTGCTAAAGACAGATAATTAAGCAATGGTTTGAATAAACATCTATTTTTTTCTGACATTCTAGGCCTTTGTGAAAATTGCTCATTTATGGTAATACATGTGGATAACTTAGAAAATTTCATGGTACTTAAATATTCTATCTGTAATGACTTTGTTTTCCCCTTTCTTTCCTTGTTATACCTTTATTTCTTGAAATCATGTACATGTGCAGATGCTGGAAGGCCATAAGCTTAAAGATAATCGATACAAAGGAGAAAGAAAAATACCAGATGGTCTCACTTATATGTGGAATACAGAGAAACATAACAAAAGGTCAAACCAAACCAATAAAAAACTCTAACATCTGACTGCAAAACTGAGGTAACACGAGCGTGGTGGAGGGAAGGGGTCCAATGGAACATGGTGGAGGGTTGTGGGACGCTGGTGGTGGGCAGGATGTGGGAATATACATTTGTAGAGTTTTGAACCTACAAGCCCTGAGCAGATACAAAGATGTAAACCTAATTTATCTTAATAAATGTTTTTTGGAAAAAAATTCTATATATAATCTCTATGAAATAATATGGATATAATCTATATAATGTAGGAGATCTCTTTTAGAAATAAAGACCTCATCCTCAGAAAAACGAATATTCCCCTATATTGTACATACATTGCAGGGCTCAAAATTCTCAGGTTCCAGTTCCCCTGACTTTTGGTCTCCAAAAGTCTCCATTTGCAAAGATCACAAGACAGCATATCCCATTCTCAAATAGTTCTAATTGTTAGAAATTCTTCTGTACACGGAGCCAGAAGCTCCTTTCTTGGGATTCCTACTCATCTGTCCTAATTCTCTCCTTTATAGACACAGAGAAATGTAATTTATTTTCATTCCAACATTTAAACAGTTGGAATTGGTGACTTTGTTCTACATATGACTTTTCTTTACTCTAAACTCCCTGGCTTCTCCCTCCAACTGTTCCTAAATCCCTGTGGCCACCCACAAGGACATAGGAAGCTTCAACATCCACAGCCTCTGGTGGAATGTGGTGCTAAGACTGAGCAAAGCACTCTGCTCAGGCTTCCCCAACCTGACCCAGGAAGTCTCTGCCCCACAGCTCCCCATGTGGACTTCCTCTTATCAGTGCAGCGCTGGTCATGTCACACAACTAGATGCATCTGCACTACCTGACACGTGTCCATTTATTTCCATGTTCTGAATTTTGGACTTCTCTTTATCCTGCCAAAGTTTTCCTGTATCCTTATTCAATTGGTCCTAATATTATCTTTCTATGACTTTATGACTTCTGTGTTACCTGTAAATTTGCTATGCATGCTTTTATTTATATGTCTAACTCAGAAATAAAGCTAAGAAATAAGAGAGTGCAAAGATTCATCCACCCCCTCCCCCCCAGCTATCATATGGTATTTAGTTATAAATCCTTTCAATTCTATTATTTATATCAGGACAGTATTTCACTGCTCAGTGAAACACAAAAATTATAGATTTTATAAAAGCTTTCTCTTGCTTTTTTGAGTTCATTTAAACTATATATTGTATCTATATGTTCTAAATGACTTTCAAACATGCATTTTTCATAGAATCACTATTGTTTTGTTTTTGCCATCATTTCCTATACTTTATTCCCAACATATACTTTCTATTTTCATTACAAGTCAGGTGAGTTTTCTTGAGGAATTACCAGTGGTTATGAAGAAAGGACAGAGGACTGGCGAGATGAGATATCCTAGTTATTTTGAGAAGAAGCAACCTCTACACTTCACTTTTCCTTCTGCATTCTCTACCCCATGCACAATGAGACTGAAAGTCACTTGATTCAATGAATTGTTAGGTCTAAAACAAGCTATGAATTAAAACATTTTTATATGTTTTATTGTTAGATCTACATTTTCAATACAATAAATACAGAAACTTTGATAATACTACTTACCTAGTACTAATAATTGATAAAGATTTAAGTGCATTTGTTAGCCAGGAGTCTGTCAGACCTTCAATTTCTGCCCTTAACTGCAGCCACGCGTCTCTCTTGGCAGGGCCAAGGAGTCCTGCAACACCAGGGGGGGCAAGGCAGAGTCAAGAGAGGAATGTTTCTCAGGAATACCCATTTTGTTCTCACTTCTGTCTATATGGATAGTTTTTATTCTGGCTAATATGCCCTCAGACAGGGAATGAGAGACTGACATATCAATAGCGGTTCAGTTTAAAATTGATAGGACATTCATTCAACAAACATTTATTGAGCAACTTCTAGATATCATGCACTAGGCTCAACACTGGGGATGTAACAGTGAAAAAGTGGGTCATGATGTATAGCCTCATTCAATCTAGAATCTGGCACAGGCCAACCACAGAGGAGCTTTGATATCTCCCATGCGTGAGTCTCATTCCAAAAATCTGACATGTCAGGTATGCAGGAGTAGTCGAAGTTTACCAGCCTAGGGAGACAAACCTAATTATTTAGGTGTTTGAAGCAGTTCAGTTTCTTAATCACAATCTTTGCCATTTTGAAACAATGATGACACTATTATATACATCAGCTACAATGTTTCTAATAGGAGGGCTAAAGTTATCACCATTATTTTGTTTTGCAAAAAGAATTGTGTATGACACACTCATAGACAAGAAGTGTATGACAGTTACAGACAATGGTTGAAAACTCCACTAATGGTAGGATAAGGAAAGAAACAGACATGTGAATGCTTTATTTAAGTTCTTATTTTGAGATAAAATGGGATCATATAAATCCACTAAAAAGGAATATAGGTAATTAAAACATTTCAGAATCCTGGGAGAAAATATATAGGAATTGTTCTTTAAATCAAAATTTATAGTTTCTTGCAAGTCTCATTTGTTCTTAATTTTATATAAAGAATATAATGTATCAGAGAAAATAAACATGTGGTTTTTAAATTTTTAAGGTATGATAATTTATTAGCAATCTTGTGAATTTTTAGGTAATTTAAATAATACCCTTCAAGAGATATGTCATACCTGAGTGATACAAATTAAGATTTCCCAGAAAGGATATTTATTTTAAAAGTTAAACATATTACTCATAATCTATTTAATTTTACCAAAATAACTTCTATATAATGAATTAGGAAACTTGAGTGGTCTCCCTAGAATGCACAGTAAGTCAGTAGCCTGCAGGGGTCTATTTCTCACCTGAAAATGAAAGTTTTCCATATTCAACTCCCTTTTGGTTCTAGCATCATTATTATTGTCTGTGGTTCTCCATTTTATTGTTGTCTTATAGTTACTGACTACCCGTAAAGCAACTACTACGTGACTTCAGGCTAGTTAGAAATGGGTATGCAACGTGAAGACACACACTGCCTCACCTTCAGAAACTGTATTGGCCTTTGTCACATAAACATAGACAAGAATTTTATTTACTATAGTGTATTCTATGACATAGTATATGCACATACAATGTTTAGTATGCACACATGTATTCAGCTGTATCATTTCATGTGAGACTGGTTTATGCTCCTCAATCATCCTTCCTTTTTTAATTAAAAAACAAAAAACAAAAAGGAAAAACCATAGGAGAAGAATCTTCTGTGACCTTATATCTAATCTTAGGATTTAGTTTGTTTAAAATTAAACTTAATAGTGGAGACCATCAAGGGCGACTGTATCAAGAAGTACTTGTTATGTTAGTTTTGATGTCAAAGGTTTTGATAGCACCTGTAATTGGTGAGTGACTCTTAGGTGGTTTTGATATTTACAGCAGGCTATTTGATTCTTGAAAACCATGATAATTATAGTTCACACTCTCTATGGGAAAGATACACTGTCAGAGAACATGCAATTTTTAAAAGGCCAAAATAGACTGTTGCAAGTCTTTGAAATGACAGAAAACACTGTTTATATTTACTGCCGACAGGTTCCCAGAAGGCAGTGATTGCTAACAACTTCCCTTCAGGGGCTGGTGTTCTTCTCTTAGACAGGCCTTCTTCGCAATCAGTTCTTCACCAACAGTCTCCTAAGCACCAGCTGTAGAATGTTCAACTAAATACTCTGCTGTAAATCTTGACCAAACATCTGGGCGCAAAGAATGCCCTATTCCTAGGACAGAGCTGCCCATCTTATTTTATAGTGAATAACCTCCCCCACCAATTCTAAGAAACTTAAAATTCTGTCTCACTGTAGTTCAGCATGAGCTCATGGTAATTTCTCCTATAGTCGGGGGGTCTCTAACACAAAACATGGAACTATAGTTCAAAATCTATTGCTACCTACAATGCTTTCATTAGATTTAAAAAGCCATGCATACCTCCAACATTGTTCTTGTAGGTGTTGTATAATTCTTTTACTCTTCTGTAACGAAAAGCCAATTTCCTCATCCAGTCAACCCCTCCTCTTACACCTGTTGGCAAACAAAGGTTTGCACTACTTGCAGCTGCATGGAAGCCATCAGTTGCAAAACTGTAGGTACTGCAACACCCAAAATACATTAAAAAGAAATAAAAGAAATAATTACATGTGCAAAACTCCATAGCTGAATTTCTGTAGGAAAGAGTATACTGAATCGCATGGCTTACCTTAAGTCCTGTCCATTATCATCAGAGGAAACATCATCTATATGAACTTGATCACACTCCTGTTAAGAACATTGAAATGTTATTTGTTTTTCCAGCGATGCTCCTCACCACTTTCGAAGGTTTTCCACCTTTCTATTTGATCAGGCTACGGCCAGAAGATGGCAGCATCTGCCCATCCAGCCCACCATCCTGCCCTGGACAATGGCACCATTTCTACTCCAAAAGATCTAAATCCAGAAAAGTGGCATGAAAATGGACATGAGGGTTTCTTTATAGATATTTTTAAAATAATCTTAATCTTAAAATTATGGAAAAAAATGTCTCTGGAATCCTTAGAATAATTTGCATTTATTTTAAACTATTTCTGTTGTGCATGCTTAAAAATGGAAGCACAGCTAATCTGAGGGTACACACATCTTTGTTCTGAATACCTCAAATGGTTGCTATCATTTATTATTTGTTGAGCAACAACAGAAGGAGTCAGTGATTATGGTGTCCTATGAAATTTCTGTGATGTCCTGCATTTTGCTAGGCAAGAAATATCAGGAGAGAACAATGTGATCATTATTTTTAAAATTCTGTCCTTTTGATATGCAGATCAAGGTAATAACATAGAAACCATTGTTTTCTTTTGTTCAAATGAACAAAAAGTTAATCTTACATGAATACTTAAACGGAATAGAGAAATAATGGCAATTTATCATCTCAAATGTGCTACAAATAAAGGAAAATAAACTAGAGTTAATCTGTCTTAAATTGGTCATATACACAGATCAAACAGTAACTTTTATGGATAAGAATTCAATTATTCTGTGCTGTTCTAAGGTTCCTCTTCTATCTTCAAATACTCTGCAAAGTTTCAGTGAAATAGTACACAACAAAGGGTGGAATCTGCTAATGCATTTAAAGTACGAGGTCCTTATTAACCTCAGGATGAAATACGTTGGGCTCTCTTACTCCCAATTATTTCAATCATATACAAATTCTGACTGTATACATGGGGAATCATGATTCAAAACCAATTAAAAAATCATTAAATTTGAAAATAGGATGCCATGTTAAAGATTTTTCAGTTACAATTTACATTCATTGTAGGACTTGGAACTATTGACAATGAAGTATTTCATATCTCACCTCCAATTATGCACACAAAGTATGGGATATCCTATTGAGAATAAGACATTTTGAAGAGGAAACAGTTGACTTAAAATTCTTTAAAAATGTGAAATTTAGTGACTAGCATAATCAATACAATTTTGGTACATAACGTGAATATTAAGTTAATGTTGAAGGTTTACATAGATTACATGATATTTACACATGATTTGCCTAAATTACGGGGTTTGTAATTTTTTAATAAATCTTTACCTATATTTACAAGTAAAGAAGGGTTTAGAAAAGTTTCTGAAGAGCATCTTTTGTTCACCTGAATATAACCCCACTTCAGGCCCTACCTGGCATAATCACTCAATTCTTTGTTGAATAAATGGCAGAGGTGTAGACAAATAATAGATACTAATAGAATTACCACAACCATTTATATTTTCTACAAAAAGCTATGCTGCTAAAAAATAATACTATTTTGGATGGTTAGGACTGTAAGAAGAGATTTATATCAAGAGTGGAGGGGACAAAGAATACTGTGGGAGCTGAGACCATGGGAGCCATAAAATCACAGGGATTTGTAAAGTTTCTTCTCCATTTTCAGTGAGTATTGGTTGAAAGGAGAACAGTCCAAACTTTAATCAAAGGAGGCATTGTGCTTCCAGAAAAATCTCAGGGAAAAGTATTGCAAGCCGCAGCAGTAGCTATTAGATTGGGCTCCAAAAGAAAAGTGGAGAGATTTAACAAATTAACATAAAAATTGGGGGAAAAGTTGGGAAAAAGCTGAATATGGAGAAAACAAAGGCAAACTAGACAACAAGGATTATTTCTTATTTAGAGATGGTGACATTTTTGGTAAATAGACTCAACTAAATCACTACTGAAATGACATCATTAAAGGTGTTCATTCCACTGAAATTCTAAGAGCTTTCATCATGTAAATAACTTCCATGTCTCTCTTTTATAATAAACTAATGATATTAAAAAAAAAAAGGTGAGTCAAAATCCTTGAGCATTATCCTGGTCATTAGAAGCCATTTCTTTATTTAATAGCCTCTCATCTGAAATTTTAGAGGAATTCCTCTGCCTATTCAAATATTAACTCAAATGATTAATTTGTACATTTTGCCCCCAAATTTAGTTTATTACTCCTGAGGACATCAGTATATCAAACTTATTGGACCATGAGCTCCATATTTGGAGTCAGGTTTGACATTTCTCCAAATGGAACTTCTCTTTAAATTTATGCCTAGTTAACTATGCTTGTTGACTCTGGCTTCTTGCCAGAGGATTATAGTCCAGTGAAAAAAAGCCTGAACTTCAATCGCTTATAGTTTTAGAAAAATTGAAATAATTGTTCTTCATTTAGTTTTCACTCAGATAAACTTTCAAAAATCATTTTGATCAAAAATTGATGTGCTAAAAATGGTGTAGTGCTTGGGCATTAACCCATTTCAATATGAGAACTCAAATATTTGGAATCATTCTAGGGCTAATCTTAAATTCTGTAAATTTGTTTTATAAGGTGACCACAAAGTTGTCACTGATCTTTATTGTTATAATCCACAGGAGTCTTCTCTCACTTTCATGAGTCCAAACTCCCAGATGCCTTCTTTTCTGGAAGTTATTCTAACTGAAATAACATTTTATTTCAACGGTGAGCATTCTCTTCTTAGGGGAATTGTGTGGGCATTTGCCTTCTTTGCAGTTAGGCAGGATGGCAAAGTGACTATTTTGAGGGTTTAAATTTGTATCTTTCAAGGAATTGTGTGAGAACAGCTGCTACTGCATATGTTGCAGTATCTACTGAAACATTTGAAATCTCAAATTAGATTTTTAGGTTAAGAAGAAAACATCCTGAGAGATTAAATAAACAAAGAGAAAAAACCACACAACAGCCACCTAATGACAGTGTTACTCTCTTGAGGAATTTTCTCTTCTGTAGAAGCAGAAATCATTTAATACCAGTTATGTAGCCCAGGACAATCTTTGCTTGCAAGAGGTTTACTGAAATTAAAAAAAAAAATGGATAAAAGTAAAGTAGGCTTTCTAAATCGGATGCAGAGGATAGTGGATATGTTTGTAACAATACTGAATGATCATGAAAGTTTTACTGTTTGGATTTTATCAGTTTTAGAGCTTGCTACTTAACTAAAATAAGTAATAAGCCTCTGTGTTTCCTTGGGTACTTCATCTGCATATACGTGTGTGCGGCATGCATGTGTATGAACATGTGTGAGCATTCATAAATTTATATGCAGAGACTTAATTATTTCATTGATTACTGTACTGTTGGATGGTAAGTTTTAGTGTTTGAATCAAATACAATTATTATCAAATTCCAACACATAACTAAAGTTATAGGAGAAAGTCATTACCAGTATTTTCTTAGTTACTATTTCTACCAGTGATTTTTATCTAATCCAAAATAAAAATTCACCATAGCTGATAACATTCGTCTGATATGCCAATAGTCATGTCAAATTTTGCTAGAGGTATTTGCAAATTCATCACTTGCCACTTTCACTTTCTTTAGTTATCAGTTAAAAATTGGAGGATAAATTTAGTCCATCTGGCTTCTAATATGCCACTAAAAGAGCTAAGGGGTCATATATTTCTAGTAAAAATAGTGAAATGAAATAAAATTTATAAAACTTGGATAAAACTTCTTTATTTTTGTCTTTTACAGATTTGACAGGATCAATAATCTTAGAATTCACTTTAGAATGAGATTATTCATTTTAACCAAAAGAAAACTCAACCTAAAAAATTATCACTATATATATAATAGAAATTCCAAAAAGGTTAAAATGTGTTTCCTATAATTATACAAAATCATTCTATAGACTAGATAGTAATAAGTGGTAGGATTAATTTAAATCAGGTTATAGAAAGGTTACTGTAATTTCTTATTATCTAAAACTGAAAAACTTGCTTAGCAATACTGATTTTTCATATTGTCCACTAAATGCAAAAAACCCCTTTTTTTTAAATAAACAGTAATTCTATTATCCAGTTAAAACAATGACTCGTTGCAGAGAAAATAAAATACTTTTGCACAGTTTCTACAACAAACATTTATGGGACACACTGAACTACACATTTTTATTCATGTCTCAAATGTAACTAAGATTGAATTTAAGACCTTGTCGGGTTTAAAAATGTATTTAAGACACTGGCTAACTTGGCCTTATTTCTAACATACTTCTCTTAATTTCAGAATGGTATGGGAGCAAAATAAAGTGCTGTGGACTTCAAGAGACTCGAGTTTCAAATCCGAGTTCTACTACTTAGATAGCAGGTCACCTTATTTTGAAATAAGCATGCGAAAACATACTGATTTCAAAAGGTTGCCAGTTAATATAAAGTCCAATATGAAATACTGAAAACAAAGCAAAGATTCAGTAATAAAAATTTTCCATTCATTCATATGATAATGTATAAACATTGTTACTCTATTGTGAAACCATAAATAAAAAAGTTTAAATACGCCATTAGAAAAAATAAAGATAAATCTCTATTTCAACATGGCTGTGCTTGACTGGGAAGTAATTTTATCCAGTTTCTGAGCTACTCAGTTATTTTAAATGTTATCTTCTGAACATCTAATGACTCAGATCATTGCATCCAGATTATATACCTTATCAAAGCATTTATTCAGCTATCCTGAGGTTATTTTTTTTGGGGGGGTGGGGCTTTTTCATATTTGAGGTTAGAAATGAAGATATAAACTAGAAAAAAAGAGAAAATAAATGCATTCAAATGCATTTCAAATCCACAAGGATGAGCTATGAACAGCTCTACCACTGTTTTATCCAAAAGTGGAGGACAGGAGGAATAACATGTTGTCTAATATTAAGTTACAGATTATTTACAAAATTTAATGACTTAGGATCTTTCCACCAATAGTTTGTGACTACTGTTCAGTGACTAACCCAAGTAGTATTTTGGTGAGTGACCTGCTAATTCCAGAGTTGTCAAGTGGACTATGATTTAGACTGTGGAAGTATCAGGAGCAGAGCAGATGCATACAGGAAGGGAGAGGAAAGCAGACCTTCTCCTTCTAAGACAGTTTGTCCTAAATATGTGCCAGCTCATACGCACAACTCATTAATATGATTCAGCTTTATTTATATGTATAGATGCAATTTTCCCCCGGACAGTAGCTTTTATATCCTCTTAAACTAAATTTGTCTTTCTGTTCTCTGGAGGTTTTCTACATAAATAAAAACCATCTAAACATTTTACCTTTTCAAATTCTTACCTCTAAATCATTAAAAAATAAATGTGTATCAGCAAGATTAAAAATCATTTCCTCCATTCGGAGTCCAAGGGTTACAGCCATGGGGGGGTCCTGAAAAAAGAAAATGAAGACATCATGAAGTGAAATTTCAGCAATCACCATTATTATTAAAATTATCTTGAGTGTATATTGTTGTGGGGGTGGATAGTATGGCAAGATTTTTTAAGCTAAGTTTCAAAAGATATTGCAGTTATCTGAAAAGGAAGCCAAGGGGTTATTTAAGACATATGAAAGGTACAGTTACATCTTGAATTTACAGGCATTTGTACACACAGAAAGATGACTCAGGATACATTTTCATGAAAGCCATATGTTCAGGAGAGAAGGAGGAAAAAAGCAAGGTAGTTCATATGACCCAGTTTATATACAGCACATGGAAAGTCATCTGGAGAAAAGTATTTGGATAGAGTACTGAAGAATGAAGCAGACTTGATAAAAAGAGGCAAGTATATCCTTTTAAGGACAAATTAATGATGACAAACAATCAGAGTAGGAGATGGAGAACAGTAGATCTATCGATGGGTATAAGAGTTGAGTAGACAATGTTGTCTGGAAAAGGAAGACCTGGTGGAATACAGTGAAACCACCAGCTAATTATTAATTGCATCCTGATCAACAGACAATATCTGTCTGAATATGTGCATAGTTTGTCTAACCCGCATTTGACTAGGTTGAAGAGGACAGGATTGAGAATGACTAAAAAGCATTAATTCAGTTAGCATACTTTAAGTAGTGTGTGTGTGTGTGTGTATATATATATATATATATATATATATATGTTTAATGAAAGCAAAGGGATTAATAAGGAGACAAAGGGATTCAATTTTTGTACAGAAGCTAAAATATTAAAAAGAAGCAAGGAGTTGAGAATTGAGAGCATGGCACTTCACCATATTTACATCTGAAAGCCTGGCATCAAGAGGTATATGCAGACTTTTAGAAGTAAGGAGAATTTAGGGATTAGGATAGGAAAAGTACAAACATTGTACTTAAGATCATCGAAGTTGGAATGAACTCTAAAGGATAATGACTGTGAGTATGACTCTGTAGATAGAGAAAACAGAAAACCTAGAAAAGACAAATCCTCAGACTTTAAGACCAGAAAGGGTGTTAGCAGGGAGGAGAATATGGTTTCTAATAAAGCTGACAAGTCAAGAAGGATACTATTGATTTTGGCTGAGATGTTATTTTGGAAGACCTTAGAGGGTGATTTGGGTTGAGTGGCTGGGCCAGGAGCCAGATTGTCGGGATTTGAGGAGAGAGAACCAACATTGTGTTTTCAATGCTCTAATAAATGGGATTTCAAGAAACGTATTTAAACTTGGGGAAACAGAATGCAAAATATTATTTCATATACACCCCTAGAGTGATTCTACTGGCAAGTAAAAACCCTTCATCATTCCACACTATATCACAATAACCAATTTTCTTTCTATATTTCTTTCCTTAATGCTTTGAGGGTATAAACATTATATTTGAAGTGTCAGCCTCATAATTTGCAGTGATTAAAACCTAGTGAATAGGAATTGAGTGTGAAGAAGAAGAGAGATGGTTGAGGTGTGCTGAGCAAAACTCCAACCTGATGTGGGAGATGTTGAAGACTGGACAATAATATTAAGTAAGGTCTCAACATAGTTTTCTAATTGCTTATATCTCTCCCTTAGAAATTGCTATGGATTTCATAGCTAGAGATTCTCTTCCTTCTCAAAAACAGATGTTCCATGTTCACATACTTGAAGGCATCCCAGGAGTGTGGCATCCAGTCAATTTGACTCTGCTGCTAGATTCATCTGTCTAATGGAAACAGGATCATTTGGTGCAACATATCCCCATACCAAATAAATTCCATCTTATCCAATAAATATTCATTTGATAAGAGGAAAAAAAAATGGTAAGTGCCTATTCTGTGTCTCAGGGAATTCAGAATCTACAGGGATCCCTTGCTCTGGTTCCTTTAAGTATAAAATTTCCTTTTTTTATTTCTTTTTTGTTTATATTATGTTAAAAGAAAAATCTCTGAAGGTGAACAAATTTTTTAGAATATACATTTGTTTTGTTGACAATTCTTATTTCTAGTCTCTGTTTCTTCTCTTCAGGGGTGGGGGGGGTGTTGGTTAAACCGTGGGCATAGAAAACTTGTAACTATTCTGTCTAGTCATGGGATCATGAACAGAAAGTCTATAGAAATATCAGGAAAAATCAAATGTAATTATAGCATGAAAACATATAATTCCATTAGTGATGCTCTGTGCTTTTGAGGAATGTTCACTGATGCAAGACAATAAAACTGAGCTCCACACTACTCCGTTATGTTTCTGATGATTACTGCCCTAAAGATATATATTTCAGAGGGAGGCTCAGCAATGTCTTATTTAAAAGATTTTCCTTTTTGAGAATAGACTGGTTAAGTTCTTATCCTATGATTTGCCAATTTCTCTTTTTTAAGTCTTAAATAAAATTATTGCATTTCTTATATTCATGCCTAACATTCTTTTCACTTACAGATCACATTTATGGGATCGGGAAAAAAACACACTGCTCCTCTTTGATTGTAACTTTCATTGATTCCATGCTTCTGAAGCACATAACTCTCTATGCTCCCCAAACAGTGATAGGAAAGCCCATGAAAAATGCATTTTGTGCATCTGATAAGCATGCAAACAAATCCAACTTTTAAGCAACCAACAGGAATTCTCTCACCAGCAGGCACCACACACCACAGGCTGGACTCTGTGAGCAGTGCTTGGAATTCAGTCCCCGGCACCAGAGGGCTGTCCATTTGTTTTTCAAGCTATGGAGATTCCACACCACACACTTCACGAGAGCCAGGACTTAGTAAGCATTTTGGCAAAATATCATTGGCTAACTAGGAAAATTTAGGTTTGAGGTTTGCTGGAGTGCAAACTAGCTGTATTTTACTCAGGTTTCCAGAGAGCAAGGCCTGTTGAAAGGGAGGTGTTTTGGTAGAAATGCCAAAGTCTTGGCCCAGATGGGCTAGGGACAGTCATGACACAGGCCAAGGAAAACTACGACTGTAAGAGGTGGTGCTGTTGTTTCTAAGAGAATGTCTAGCGAAGGTTTACTTTCATATACTAATTTTCCTTTTTTTCCCCCAACTTACTAAGTCACTGGGACAACTAATTTGAAGTAAGCAGATTATAGTTCCATTTTTTTTTTTTTTTCAGCTAAAGGACCCACAGATGTAAGAATCAAAGACAGATGACCGGGAATTTGGTGGCTGTAGCCTCAGCAAGGCCTCTGTAATACTGAGCACCCTCTGCCTTGCCAGACTACTTCAAAGGAATGCCAGAGCCTGCAATTCCATGGTTTTATCAGGCATTTGAGAGTTAAACGTACTTCTGGATTGAACCCCAGTTTTATACAGAGATGTTTGCTCATTTTCATTAGATGTTTGTGGAATTATGGGCACCTTATGAATCAAGAGTTACTGCTTTTTTTTTCAGCTTAACTGTACTGAGTGTTGAGTTTAGGGTCTGAAATGAAGTGATAGCAAACACTTGGATAGAGGGAAAAAGTGGGGTAATAAACACACTCGCAGGGTTTTGTGGAAGCTCTGATATTATTATATATGTATTATAGTTCCAACAGGTTCAAAGTGTCTACCACAGAGCTTAATATATGACAAACTGAACTTCTGCCAATTTACTCTGCATACTGCTCTATTAAAATACTGAAACTATTCTCAAGACATTTTGTTTAATGAGTGAGAAAGAGAGAGAGAAAGAGAGAGAGAGTGAGGAGGAAGATGAAGAAATGAGTAACTCTTCACCGTTAAATGTGGGATTCTAAGCCAGATGTTCCCAGTGTATAACCAAGTCAAGATCAAGGACAGCACTTCTCTATATCAAAATGCTAATGCCTATTAGTCGTGTTAGCACAGAGCATAAATTGGAGCCAGACTGTCTGTCGAGGGGCCTCTGCCCTGCACTGGGCCATCAGCTGGAATCCCTCCTCTAGGGACTTAATGTAAAAATATCTCAGGAGAGGCAGCAATTATGTATTTTTAACAAAATAGAGTACTTTTTTTTTTTTTTTAAGAACTCAAGTGCTTGGAACAGTTTCTCCTTTGGGACCTGAAGCACATTTTAGACTTGTGCACACAAGGCAAAACACATGCAAGTTCATTACAGAAGAAGGAAGAAAAACTAGCCCCACAGAAAGAGCCTTTTAGAAAACATGAACTGTTTGAATCAGTGACAAGAAATAAAAGGCTCTTCATCATGAATCAGGAGGGAAATTTGTACAATTGACATGTGTGTCTCTGATGGACAGACAGAGGATTTAAAAGTTCTCAGGGGGAACTGGAGAATGGTTTCAGGAACGTTTTTTCATTTAGCACATATTTACTGAGTGTCAGACATGTTCAAATTCGATGCAGAGAACAGAGAATCAAATAAGTCAAGTCCCTGCCCTCATGGGGTTTATATTATTACTGTCAAGACATCTGATAAATAAACTAACACTAAACCAAATAGATACATAGACTTCAGGTGGCGAAAAAATCAGGGTCACAGGCTGTGAGGATGGACAGTGTAGGGTCATTTAAAGAAGGTACAGATAAGGCCTCTCTGGAGGTGAAAGTAGAGGGTAAGAGGTGTAGGGAGGTGAGGGAGCTGGCCATGCACACACAGCAAGGCAGGGGCATATGCAGGGACGCATGAGTCCATCGTATGTGGGAAAGTGTGAGGCAGTGACCCACATTGGGGAAGTGAAGTGAAACACGTACTTTAAGAAAGAGACAGTGGGCCTCCCCTAGTGGCGCAGCGGTTGAGCGCTGGGCTGTGAAGCTGCCCGCAGCCTCTGCAGCACCGGTTCAATCCCTGGCCGCCAGCAAGGGTCCCACATGGCACGTAGACCTCTCCTGCTGGGCCCACTGCTCTCCTCAGCAGTGTATTTCATCAGTCTGCCTGTTCTGCTCCCTGTTCTGGCTCTGGTAAATCTCTCACCCCCCCGTACTTCTGACTCTACCCAGTGCTTGTATAAATAAAAAAATCTTAAAAAAAAAAAAAAGGAAAGAAAGAGACAGTGCT